TATATTTCTTTTTCTCTTAATTTCCTTGGGCCCAAGGAGTGACAGGTCTTTCCTTAAGAAAAATGTGATGGAAATATTATTAGTGTGATCCCACTTTAGGTCCAAAGTCTTGACCAAATCGTTGAAAAGCTTGGCCTCACATGATGCATCATACAAAGAAGGTCTTCTCTTCTCTGTCTGAATTTTATTTTATTTTCTTTGTTTCTTAGCTGTATCCATTTGGAAAACAATTAACAAATATTTAGGAATTAGGTAGGAAAGACGCCTCCTTGATGCATCCGTTGACTAATCACGCAGTTTACTTGAACTAAGTCCATCGAACCCAACCGCCATGTGCTTATCTTATTCGCCACCGTTTTCCTCTACTCCAGCCATTTTCAAACTCCAACTTGTTTAAATTTGTACCCTTACACGCCGTACCCACCTATCCCTGCGGTGGATTCTTCCTCCGTTCGCCAAATCGATGAAAAGTCTCTAAACTACGCTGAAAAATGGATACACTTGCACAATTTAAGGATTTCGATCCCCCCTTAAAATTGAGATTAATCGGAAAACTTCGAGTCTTCAACCAGATCAATAATAAAATAAGAATTGAATTTACGGCAATGTTTATCTTTCAACAAAAGTAGTTTATATACGAACTGGCACACATCCACTTATTATAAGATGATGTCAAACATCGAGAATGTGAATCCTTACCTTACCCGCGCACCAGTGGGCCCTACACCGGTGCCGGGTGGGGTGTGGGAACACAAGCAAATCGGATATCTTTCTCTGCTAATTAATTATCGTGCTCGATTACAAAGCTATACGAATCAGCAAAGGCCAGTGTGAGGTCACACTTTCCATGATGCTGATTAAAAAGGGATCAGATCTGTCCTTTGTGTCAATGCGATGTGCAGTGCAGGAACAGTTTCAACGGGGCCTGGCTGGAATCTTCAGCAAGTAGGCCAACCGAAACCGAATAATGAATTCAAGCTAATAATATTATTAATATTACTATCACTAAATAATTCAAGCTTAATTAGGCGATACTTAAAGCTGATTGGATGGCAGCTTGGAAGTGTCGCACTCGATCGATCTCACCGGAAGCCGGTGCACGGTCGGATCCATCGACTTGGACATTGTCACTCACATCACATGCATGATTTTTTATTTAGGAAAAAAAGATAATTAAAATTATTTGGTCTTCCAGCTCTCTCTAATTTAAGCACATGATTGATGATACTGTTCACGCAGTACCATGTACTGTTCAAGTTCAGACGCGTTTGAGGAAAATTGGTAGAAGTACGAACTGATGGATACCGGCCGGTGCGGGTTAGGGGTTTGAAATTTTTCGATGGAATTTCAGAATTTTCAACACCTCCGGCCCTGTCACGGCCAGTATATATGGTTTAGTTTCTCGGCGAGATCTCGCTATCTCAGATCCTCCTGAGATTTTGCTGGTCGAAAATTCGGCGTCCATTTGTGTTCAGAGTTGGTTGAATTCCATTCAAACCGCTTCAAATTCAATGAATTTCCATGAACACGCAAAAAAATTGTACGTCAATATATTAGAAAAAACTAGAGTTTTAGTTACACGACGCAACCGGCCAGGCGACCATTGAAGGACAAAAAAAAACTGAAAAAAAAAACTGCTCCTATAAAGATGGGGAGGGTGGCAGTTGGGCCCACTAGACTCCCAAAAGCCACAACATCTGCAGAAGACCATAGGCGGGTCTTTCCGGAGGATGGACTCCAAGACCACTGCAACCGCGATAAGAGGGAGTTCAAATTCAATGAAGATTTGTTAAGAATTTCAATTTTCTACTCGCCTGGATTAATTTCTCCTAAGGTTTTGATCCAAGACGAGAAGATCGTCTACTAGAGCACGCATGCCAGAGCATCTTCATGACCGTTTCGATTCTCTGGTCCTCTTGGTTTCCTGGTAGATGTGGAAGGAGCGGAACACCAGGGTTTTCGACTACTCACTCTCTTCGATTTTGATGGTGCGGGACTCCATCCGTCTGGAAGGCCAACCGTGGAAGCTAGTGCTGTTTCTTTTGTGGATTTGTTGGATGTTTAGTCGGGCTCCACCTACACCCTCCCTCGCAATAGGAGTTGTTTTTGTTTAAGGAGGTTTTTCCTTCCTTTACTCTGTTTTTTTTTCTTTTTTTCCTATCCCCTAGCAGTAGCCTTATGACCGTTTCGTTGTGTAATAAAAAACTTTGCTTTCTTCCAACATATTGACGTGCAATTTTTTTACATGTTTACGAAAAAAAAAGCAAAAGTAAATATTTCTTTTGATAGAGGTACTAACCATATTGTATATCTTAACCCGAATACGAGGTATATACCCCTCTCTTTTAAAGATAGTCTTGACACATGTCATTATCGATCGTACACTTTTATTTTTAATCAATTCAACTTGCGATACCTCTTAATTAGTAGTAAATGATAAGATACTCCGGCCTTTAATAAGGATGGGAGAAAAAACTGAAACAAGTACACTGGATGCCGTTATTTCAGCCAAGGATGAAACAGGTAAATGCATATGAAGAATTAATGGTACGGTGCATTTCCAAGCCGCTACTTTTCACGACCAATCGAACCGTAGCTCCTGACAGGTTAATAAAATTCTCTTGCAAAATGCCCAGAAAAATAAATTCATTCTCAGAACACAGATGTAATTAAACCAATGTGCTTCAGAATTCAGAGATCGGAAGATCACCATGCATGCACATCTCTCTCTCTCTTTTCTTTCTTTCTTTTTTTTGAAACGCATGCACATATTTCTGAACAATTCTCAGTTAGGGCTGTGTTTAGTTGGATCCAAAGTTTAGATTTTGGTTAAAATTGGAGATGACGTGACTGAAAAATTATGTGTGTATGACAGGTTAATGTGATGGAAAACTATTGAAGTTTGGATCCAAACTTTGGATCTAAACACAAACTTAGTTGCTTCTCCGACTTTGCTTACACACGTACGAACCTCCAGTACAAAAGTCAACAAGAAGACGGCGTAAATAATTTTTTTAAAAAACCAACGATTTAGCTCGCTGCATGCGTACGCCTGACGGCCTGAACGCTAATTAATCACGACTGCGAGAAGTAAACAAGATCCTTTCATTTTCTTTTCTTTTCCCGGTTTTTTCTTCCCCGCCCCCGGACAAGGGCCTTCTAGCCATTTGTGTTGTATAAATAAAACTAGTATAATAACCCACGCAAATTGCACGGCTAGCATAATTATATTCTCTCATATAATAGCATATATATTTTCTCAATGTATTATTCAAATATATTAAAATGATAACATAATTTTAAATTTTGTACTAACTTTACAAAACTACTAATGTGTAATATTCATATTGTATTTTATATACGTGTTAGTTATTAATTATTTTTAATATCAAATTTTAGTTATTTGTAAATTATATTCCTATATGGACTCTAGACTCGTCTTTCAATATTTCTTTTTTAAAATTCCGAAATTTTCGTTATCTGTAAATTATATTTCTATATAAACTCTAGGCTCTTCTACTAATATTATTTATTTTTAATTTTGAATTTTTATTGTTTCCAATTGTATCTCTATGTGGACTCTAAACACATCTTTCAATATTCTTTAATTTTTAATTTCGAATTCAGTTACTTATAAATTGTATTCCTATATTAACTTTAGACTCTTCTTCCCCTTTTTTTAAAATTTTGAATTTTAGTTATTTGTAAATAGTATTTTTACATGAACTCTAAACTCTACTTTTAATTTTATTATGTTTATTTCGAATTTTAGTTAGTTTTAATTTCTTATATGGACTCTATGCTCTACTTCTAATATTCCTTATTTTTAATTCTGAATTTCTATTATTTTTTAATTATATTTCTATATGGACTCTATGCTCTACTTCTAATATTCCTGGTTTTTAATCCTGAATTTCTATTATTTCTTAATTGTATTTCTATATGGACTCTATTCTCCTCTTCTAATATTCCTTATTTTATTAATTCCAAATTTCAACCATTTCTAATTGTATTTCTATATGGACTCTGTTTTCCTTTTTCTCCGATTAATATGAGATTTTCTAGGTCGTGAGAGCGAACGTGGAGGCTCCTTTTTCTATTCCTTTAATAAGTTAATAGATTCTTCTAGCCGTTTGTTTGTGTTGTATAAATAAAATTTTTCTTTCTTTTAATATATTGGCGTATAATTTTTTTTGCGCGTTTGTGAAAGAAGTATTCAAGATAGAGTATATTTTGCCAGGTCACATCGAGATCGGAGTCAAATCCTCCGGCCACATCGATCGATTAACGACCTTAATTCCGATCGATCAAGCTAAGATCGATCGTTGTCTCTGTTTGCGGTGGCCACCGCCGGCCAAGTCGCCGGAGATGAGATGAGAGATTATCCAGTCCAGTTTGCACATACGCGTGGACCAAACCGGACAGAGAACGCGGCTGCAGCCGCAATTTATCAATGTAGAACGGCTACGACGACGGCGACGGCGAAGAGGATGATGAAGAATACTTTCTCTATTTTTAAATACTTATACCGTTCACTTCTTAACACATATTTGACTATTTGTCTTATTAAAAACTTTTGTGAAATATATAAAACTATATGTATACATATAACTATATTTAACAATGAATTAAATGATAGGAAAGAATAATAATTACTTATTTTTTTAGTAAGATGAACGGTCAAATATAATTAAAAAAGTCAACTGTGTTAAATATTTAGAAACGAATGGAGTATAAAGGGAGTATATTATATCTGAATCGAGGTCGACGCGTCCGTCCAGCTAATTGGTTCTCATTCGATTTGCCCATGCTCGAGTTGACATTTTTTTGGGTCCTCGAGCTCTCTCTCGCTCAAGGTTAATTACCCACTTAATCACTGGGATTTAACCGGGATTTGGTGGGGAAAGCTAATATTTTAATCCGTTTTCAGTCAGAAACTGCAGGCCCCGACGACGACCTCCTAGCCTTAGCCCCTTAGCTTCCTTCTTTATAAGGAGGGCAAGCTACCATTGCAAGGACAATTAACTTTGTTCAGCCATCGCTTTGCTTGATACCCTTCTTGTTCAGAGCCTACGTGATTAAGCTAAGCCTGGTTTAATATTTCGAGATCGGTAACGACGATCGATCGAACGCCGCAATGGACGTCGTCGTCGAGAGCCCGCCGGTGAGGGACGAGAAGAAAGTCGACGTCGCCGCGGTATGATAACATAAATTGGATTTAATTACGATCTTTTTTTTGAGACGTGATGATGCTAATTGCAGAGTTCTTGAACAAGATCAAACTGAATTCGATTAATTGTATTTGGGTGCAGATTGGAGGCGCGCCTCCAATAGTCTTTGAGAGTTTTGCACCATCGACGCAGAGAGATTCAACCATCATCAAGAAGGTATCCATCCATCGATCGATCAATCGATCGTAATTTGTTCTGATAATTCAGAAATTGGTGATTAATTATGTGGTAATTATTGTGACAGGAGGAGAAGATGGAGGCAGCGAAGGCGGAGATGGGCGAGGTGAGGGAGGAGAACGAGCGGCTCAAGACGATGCTCACACGCATCGTCAGCGACTACAAGTCGCTGCACACGCACTTCCTCGACGTCGTCAAGGTCAAGGAGCAAACGGCGGCGGAGCTCTCCGGAGACGACGACGACGACGAGCCCGACGACCTCGTCTCCCTGAGCCTCTGCACGAGGCCCAACGCCGCCGCGACGCGCCGGAAGGGCCACGAGAGGACGCCGTCGTCCGGCGGCGGCGGCGACGACGGGCGGCTGTCCCTCGGGCTGAGCTGCGCTCGCGGCGGCGTTGCCTCCGACGACGACGACGACAAGCAGGCGAGCCGCCGCGCGTTGCCGCCGATGCCCGTGCTGAACCTCAGCTCCGACAGCAGCGGGGACGCCGCCGGCGCCGGCGCCGGCGAGCCTACCCAGCCGAACAAAGCGTCCAGGAGCTCGAGCGGCGGCGGCGATGGCGCCGACGACGAGGTGCTGCAGCAGCAGCAGGCCAAGAAGGCTAGGGTTTCCGTCAGAGTCAAGTGCGACACCCCCACGGTACTAATTAATTACAGAAGAACGATTACTCTTCTTAATCCCAATCTCTAAACCATAATAATTACGTAATTTACCCGTGCTAATCACGCTGTTAATTATGATTAGATGAACGATGGGTGTCAGTGGCGGAAATACGGGCAGAAAATCTCAAAGGGGAACCCTTGCCCGCGCGCCTATTACCGTTGCACCGTTGCACCCAACTGCCCTGTACGCAAGCAGGTACGTATATACGCGTATAAATACGTATTTACGTTTACAAATACGTATATGATTCGAATGATGCGTACTTAAATTGAAGCGAAAATTTAAATTTGTGTTGGTTTTGTGTTAATCGATGGATCAGGTGCAGAGATGCGCGGACGACATGTCGATCCTGATCACGACGTACGAGGGCACGCACAGCCACCCGCTGCCGCCGGCGGCGGCGGCGATGGCGTCCACAACGTCGGCCGCGGCGGCGATGCTGACGTCTGGCTCGACCAACTCCACGATGCACGGCAGCGGCGGCGTTCACCACCACCTGCCGTTCGCCTCGGCCGTCGGCGGCGGCGGCGGCGTCGGGCTGCTCGGCCCGACCACCATCTCCACCGCCACGTCCTGCCCCACCGTCACGCTCGACCTCACCGCGCCGCACTCGCTCCTGCACCCGTCGTCGGCGTCGCCCTACGCCGCCGCCGCCGCGGGGTACGAGTCCAGCAGGGCGCTGCCGGCGGCGTGGAGCAGCGGGTACCTGGCGTACGGCGGCGCGGCGGCGGCGCAGCCATACTACGCCAAGGGCGTTGCGCCGTCGCCGTTCGGCCATCATTTCGGCATGATGGGCATGGCGGCGGCGGCGGCGAGGCCGGCGCCGGAGCAGCTGTTCGGCGGCCAGACGACGTCGCCGTACCTGCAGAGAGCCATCGGCGGCGGCGGCGTCGCGCCGGCGGCCGTGACGGACACGATCGCGAAGGCGATCACGTCGGACCCGAGCTTCCAGTCGGTTTTGGCGGCGGCGATCACGTCCTACATGGGGCGCGGCGGCGGCGCGGCGGCGCCGAACAAGTGAAGCAAGTTCATAAAATTGATCTAAATTTTGTTTAGATAATCAATTAGATGGTAATAATTGCTTGATTTGTTCTGCTATACGTACGTATTAGTCTCCTAATTGGCAAATTGATGTACATAGAGTACAGTATATATAAGCATGCACAAGCGTGAGATCACTCAATTGTATATGCACTATGTGGGGGGAAACAAATTAATTCAAAATGAGGCTTTTGATTTCCAGGCTTCAAGGAGCTAGACATGCATGCGTGATAGTGTCAGGTAAGCATAATTTTTGTACAAACAGTACTGATCATGGAGTGATAATATATACTCCCTCCGTATTTTAATGTATGACGCCATTGACTTTTTAACCAACGTTTGACCATTCGTCTTATTTAAAATTTTTATGCAAATATAAAAATACTTATGTCATGCTTAAAGAACATTTGATGATAAATCAAGTCACCATAAAATAAATTATAATTACATAATTTTTTAAAATAAGACGAAAGGTCAAACGTTTGTCAAAAAGTCAACGGCGTCATACATTAAAATACGGAGGGAGTATATACTGCGCAGGAAAGCAAGAAGGAAACAAAAATCCATGAAAATAACTTGACCAAAGTTAAAATTCTCCCCATATATATGAGAGATTAATTGATAGTGTATTTTGGTGATAACCACTGACGATCTCTAGTGGCCTGATTTTGGTTAGGAGCGTAAACTCTTGATTTGATCGAATGAAATGTTGACAAAACAGCTACCAGCAATAAGTCTATGATGCAATGTCATATCAAACATAACGTGTGGTTTGATAATCTCTAATGTAGACAAGAAAACACTGCAAAAATAAGGTAGATACAATCTAAATATTATTTATGAATAGGTGCTTAATTAAGCACGATAGGAATGATTGTTATTGAAGTGGTCAATCCAATCGATCGAGTAAATCAATATACCAACTATTTTAGACTTTTATAGTCACCGACTAAACGATCGTGAACTAAGAATAAGATTAAACACACTTGGATAAAAATCAACTAAATAAAATATTTTTTTCTTGCAATACATAGCTAGTTATAAAGGAAACTAGAGTTTGGTGTGCTCAAGTTCATTAATTAAGGTGGAGAGAGGCTCACCAGAGATGGGCAGTGATGAACCTTTAAAAAACAATTACCGGTATCCTATATATATATCATAGTATATATAATATTCTGATTTCAACTAATAATGTAGTTAATATAGGCAACATCTAAATATTAAAATTTGGAACACCACTAACGATGGGAAATCTATTGGAAAACCCCAAACCTAAATTTAGTTTGCCTTCAGCAACAACAGTGGCTTAGATAAATTTGGCCCATGCCACTGTAAATTTGTTGTATTAAGAAAATCATGTCATTTTGTACGCATCAAACATGTTTGGAATTTTTTTTACTTTAATTTTACATGAACCAAAATACCAAATCTACGGCCTCATCGGTTCGCTTATTGGAGGAATAAGCGAAACGGCATATTTACAAAAGAACAATAATTTATACGTAAAACTTTTATATACGTGTTATTAGCGATCTAAAAGCAAACGCTCGAAAATAAACTTCGATGAAAAGACATCAAAATCAACTCCAAATTTAAAGTTGAAAATTCAAATTTTGCCTGATAAGCATAAGTATAAGCGAAATGATGAGGCCGCTAAACACAGAACCTGCCCGTCAGTTCCATGTTCTTTCTTCACCCTCCCCTCTCTCTTCACCTCTCCTTCACCAATATTCAAAGGTTTTCGTGAAGTCTAACAAAATCTAAACCAGAGGTGCCGTGAACATGCTAGGTCCATTTCAAACCAATACGGTCCTAGAAGGCTGGACTGGACTTGACCCGTGTTGGTTTTCCACTGAAAGAATAAACAGCTAGGTCCGTTTCAAACCAATACGGTCCCAGAAGGCTTAACTGGACTTGGCCCGTGTTGATTTTCTACTTAAAGAATAAATAGCCATAAATGTGAGCACCCGTATTAAATCTAGAATTCGAACCCGGGTAGGTTGGTTCCACAACAAGGAACCAAACCAATTGAATTATGCTCACTTCGTGATCTCCGTGATGATTTTGAGTACATATGTCTCCTTGGTGATATAACCGAAGATTACTAAAGTATAATCACACGACAAACATTATTTAGCGGTTTATTTTAAGTTGATGTGCATGTGCTCTTGTTAATATTGGACCTAATGAAGTTATATGTGAGTATCTGATTAAATGATGTCCTCAAATAATGATCATTCTAGGCTGCGATAATATATACTGCCTCCATTTTTTAATAGATGACGCCGTTGACTTTTTCTCATATGTTTGACCATTCGTCTTACTCAAAAATTTTATGCAAATGTATAAGATATAAATCACACTTAAAGAACTATGAATGATAAAACAACCCATAACAAATTAAATTATAATTACGTAAATTTTTTGAATAAGACGAATGGTCAAACATGTGAGAAAAAGTCAACGGCGTTATCTATTAAAAAACGGAGAGAGTAGTTTGGTATTTTCAGAAATCTTGCTTTCACAAAGCCGATCTTTAATTTCTGCAACTGCAGTGATCACAAGATACAAATAAATTTCTTATATATATATATATATATATATATATATATATATATATATATATATATATGCTATAACGTTTATACTTTTTTACCCTTTTTGAATTACCAGCGAAAGTATAAAATAGAAAAGTAGGTAGATAAATACTTGGATTTTAGAAAGGAAAAAAACATGGTGCAGTATATGTATATTACTTGGACAAAAAGAAGATAGTGATTATACGAGTTGGGAATACTAAGACCAGATGGAACACACTGAAAACATTGTTAGTTTGGTAAAATCTCACTCTAATCCTTGAAATAGATTTATTCTTTCCGACTGTCCGACACCCTCTTAATTTGAAATAATATTTCATGAGAAATTTTACGGTTATTGAGAGAAAGTATTTCGAGGTACCAAATTCTATTATATTCTTAAAGATGGTAAAATCATCCATATTTCACGGATGATACTGGACTTAAAAAGGTCCATTATTCAAAAAGAGAAAAAAAAAACTGAGCTAGTCGAAGTGCTCCTGCATTGGACTGAACGATTTGCAAGTTTAGATGGGCCTCCTTTTATGGGCCTGAATGTTGGGTCCCACACACAAAGATGGGCCTGCAATGAGCCTCATCCAAGCAAGGCCTTACCGGCTTACCCTGTTCTTGGGCCCTTATGAGGAATGGCACATCTGATTAACTCTGCAGATATACAACCAGTTATCTGCAACTTGTAAGAGAAGATAAGGAAGAATGGGGAATAAAATGTAAGAAAAGTGATGGAAAAATAGAAGCCGCCGCGGGAAGATGTTTATAAAATTAATATCGATGCTTCCTTCTTCGCTGAGACTGGCACTGGAGGCTGGGGTTTTGTGGCAATGGATTCAAAGGGTTCTTTCTGCTGGAAGCTTATCGTGGATGGGCAACGCCCTGCATGTGGAGGCGTTAGCAATGATGAAAAGTCTAGAAAAAGTGTCTCAACAGGGGATGACAAAAATTGAGGTTAAAACGGATGCACAGATGCTGGGCAAAGCACTTATTTCCCAAGATCTGAACCGTCGCCCTGATGGTGTCATTTTCAGAAAATTAAGGGCTTTCTTAAGATCAAACTTTGATGTCTTTTCTATTTCAGTTTTCCCTAGATCTTGTAACAAAGTGGCTGATTGTTTGGCCTCTTTTGGTGTGGGTATCGTGGCCACTAGCTCCAAGTGTTTCTGGAGCCAAGCCCCGACGTTTGTATCTCCTTTGGTCTCCGGCGATTTGCCTGGAGATACTGGTTAATGAAAGCAGAGGTTTACTGTGTCAAAAAAAAAGTTCTCTGCAACTTGAGAATAGCATGAGCGTTTGTCCACCAAAATTCAATGCGAAAAAATTTACTTTACTTCAGTGATATCAAGAGGTAATACCAAAATTTTTAATGTAAATTTTTATATCTTAAGTAGCTTGATTTTACATTAGAATATACGATAAAGCTAATTAATTAGCGGAGATGGAAGAGGCTATTGGAATTATGCACAAATCATCACGATTTTATAGCTAAAACAATACGGCGTACTCCGTTTAGAAAAAAATTAATTCTAACGACGAATCTGAAGTTCTAAACATATGATTGTCTAGATTTATAGTTAAGATTTAACTCTTTTTTTTTTAAGTAGTAAGTCTAGTGCATACAAGAACCGATCGATCGATCACGAACGGCGGTACAACTAACAAGCAACCAAGAAAAACAAAAACAGAAGTAAATTCAGCGTTCAGAACGACGATTCCGACGAGTGCGCCGCCGCGGCGGCGTGCAGCGGCGCCCCCCACGCCTGCGCGTGCGCGGGAGGCGGCGAGGCCGCCGCCGCCGGAACGCTCCACGGCGGCGCAGCGGAAGTAGGGTACGGGAGGTGGCCGCCGCCGCCGACGCAGCCGGGGGTCGCGTGGTTGTGGACGCCGTCGTAGGTGGTGACGACGTAGCGCGGGTCGTCGCCGTCGCGCTCCACCCGCTTCTTGACGCCGCACCCCGCCGCCGAGCACCGGTAGTAGTTCCGCGGGTTCGGGCTGCTCTTCACCGCCTTCTTCCCGTACTTTCGCCACTTGAACCCGTCGTCCAGCACCTCCACCTCCGACCTCGTCCTGAACCCGATCCTGCTCGTCGTCGCCGCCGCCGACGACGACGACGACACGCCATACTGATCATTGTTCCCGCCGGCGACCACCACCGGCTGCGACGGCGGCGGCGGAAGCGGCAGCGAGTACACGGAATGGCCGAGCTCCAGGAATTCACCAAAGGAACAGCCGCCGCCGCCGCCGCCGTCGACGATGTGGTCCGCCATGAGAGGAGGGAAGCACAAGGAGGAGGAGGTGTTCGACGCCGGGTACGAGTAGGCGTACGACGTCTCGTGGCAGAGTCCCAGCGAAGCCGCCATGCTCGCGTCACTGTGCGTTAGCTAAGCTAGCTGCTGCTGCTGCTGATTGAGTGTTTGACAGAATTTCTCGTGTCAAGCACTGCAATTTATACTGCCGAATCGATTGGTCCAAACTAGCTGGCTATGTGGATGGTTCACACGAACGATCCTGATGATCAGAAGGTTCTCAATAGATGGATTAATTGTGTCACATGTCGATTGTGATTACTTCTTACCGTGACAGTGACACCCCCGCTAACTAACCCTGCACTTTTGGCATTTATGACCGCACAAACTTAGCCCCTGGTCAGGGATGAATTAACAATCTACTGCTCCCCACCGGTTTGATAATAATTATCGCTTTGAACAATCAATGACATGATCTTAAAAAGTAACTTTGATAACTATTTTTCATTATAGTATAATAGAAATATCAATAACTATATGATTTTGTTGAAGTAGTTTTTAGGACCAATCTATACATATGGTCATTATATTTCTAATATAACTATTTTATATTTTATAGTTAAAGTTTTTTCAGGTTTGACAATAGGTTTGTTCAGAACGATAAGTAATATCAACCAAGAGAGAAGTATATATACTGAAATTGTGGTCAATGTTGAGACATTGCATTATGATGACCATGACTTGATTTATTGGATGATCGATCCCTCAGTATTTTCTCCGTTCTTAAATATAAGCATTTATGCACAATATAAAGATTCCCGTAGTATTCACTATTACACACGGAAATTAAATCCAAACATTTTCAAGCTAATCCAATCGAGCAATTTAAAATTTAATTAAGGAGGTGACCAAGGGAGAATCTTTTACCTCAATCTTAATTTTTGCTAAACAATCTCAGAGTTTGTTTGGGAGGTTTCGGACAGCTCAATTTTCTCTCAGAATTAAAATTTCTGCCAAACAATTCAGCATTTTGTCCATATTATAACCAGCTATATCAGCATAATTCAGAAAATAAAGTAGAAGCAAGAAATTGGTAACTTAATTATTCCGATTCTTATCAGCTGGATTCACACCATTCGCTTTTCAAAATCTAATACTTTCCAAAGTCCAAACAGATCCTTATAGGAACGGATCATCGGAAGAGGTGTATATATATACGGTAGTCCAAGTTAACGTGGGAGTCCAAGCGGTCGTGTCGACGGATAGCACTAACGTAACGTGCGTGCGTACGATGCACCTGGCCCAAATGCAAGCGACACCTGTAAAAAGGGGCGCGCGCGTCCAATCTAAGTACGTATCAGGCGGGGCACTGCAGCGGCGGCCGGGCGGGCAATTCGGCCGCGACTACGGGTGCGAGAAATTTACCGGCCGGCCTACGACGCGAGCGATCGAGCGCACGCGCCGCGCGCGCATGCTGATCGCTCGCTCGATCATTGCCACGCACTGGTTTCTTCTCGATTTTACTTTGCGTGGGGTAGGCCAAGTTTGACGGGGACGCGAACTCGCGAAGCACATACGAACGACCAGAAAATTAATATTAGCAAACGGGTTTTTATGTAGATAGCGGAACTACCTACTTACATCTCTAATCGTGAAGCATACTCAGTGTAATATAGGTGAACCATACTTAGTGTGTCAGGCGACTGAAATTCTAGAAATTTCAATTAACTTAAACCTAGCGCTAGATTTTGAGAGAGAAGGAGGATGGTGAAACTCACCGGTAGACGGTGCACTGGTGTATGTAGGCGAGAACTTGCCTCGTATGTGTTGGCGGGAAAAAGAGTAAAGAAAAATAAAGTTATTGTGTTTATATGAGTCTTCGAATGATCTAAACCATTCAGAAGTGCCTGAAAATCATTGACATTATTTTAAGGGATTGTGTACTCCTCGTTTAACAGAAAACCCCTCCTAATATCTTGTAATTTTTTTTATCATTGGATTGATTTGAGATTCGTGCAAACCGCACAAAACCCAAACCACTTATCCTTCCCCTCCTCCCCGCCGCCACAAAAATCGGTCGAGCACTCCTCCTCCCTTGACACCGTGCGCCTCCTGTGCTGCTGCCACCGTTGGCTGGCCGAAAGGTGTCAACGGCACCGGCGAGCCTCCCCGGCCGGCCCCCTCCCCCTCCCTCTCCTCTCCTTTGCCTCAAGCTAGCGGCGGCGAGCTGTCCCGTGTCGTCGTCTTCCCCGTCGCCGGCGGTGAGCACCACCACCGGCCGCCTCCTCCTACCACTCTTTCCGCTTTGCCCCCGTCACCCGCTCCCGATCCCGCGGCTTCGGCTGCGCCACCGCCGCCTCACCGCCCGCCCGATTCGCCGCCCACCGCTGGGTTGCTGCCTCCCACGGTTGTCAGGGTTATGGATACCACATATCTAATAGTAGTTGACTAAATCTCGGAAGGATCCACCACATACCATGTCTTATACGGAAACTGACCTCGAGGGAGTTCCAGATAAGGAAAGACAACCAGAGTTCTACATGGAAACGACAAGGACTACTCGGATTGTATCCATATTGGTTTCCCTAGTTCTACTTGGACAAGGGGACACCTATGGGTATAAATACAAGGCCCCCTAGGAGGAGACGGGACACGAGACGAACAACACACACACCCACCATGAGAGGATCAACAACCACCACAATCTACGCGACAACATACAAGCCTACATACGCCAAGACACGCCGCCGGATATCGACTTCAGTGATAGGCATGGCTATTCCCCTACGGTGTCTCCGGATACTGTCAGGAGATACAAAAGCGCTATCTCTGATCTCGCCGGACACGGATTCAAGGAGCAAGGCTACCCTGTTGTCGACTACGAGTCAGACCTTCAGACCGCCATGTCGACAACAGTTTGATAAGCTACCCACATATTGTACTGGTGTTATTATGGTGAATAAAAGCAACTCCGGCTCCGGCCAACAGGATGTAGGGTTATTACCTGACAATTTAGGGGCCCGAACCTGTATAAAAATCCTCGTCTCCATCTCTTTTACCTCAGTCTCGCGTATACCCTAGCACCGACGATCCCCATACTGTCCAAATACCGTAGTCGAGACATCAAACGTCGACAACGGCCATCCCTCTAAAGCCGGCGAACTCCCTCCTCTTCCCATTCCCCTCCCCCCTCCCAACCCCACCCTACCCTGGGGCCCTAATTCATCGGCCCTCTGTCGGAGTTTGGGTTCGCCGGCACCAGAGAAGAAGAGGTGGTCGCCGGAGTTAGAGAAGAAGAGCACGAATCGTGAAGCACATCCAGTGATCCAAAATTTACAAGATTTAAGATTGTATTTTCTGTCGACAGAAGTTTAGCAATTTCTGTTATTTTAATGTAGATAAACGACTTGCCTTGTATGCATTGGCGGGAGGACGAGGGGAAGGATAAAGTTACTGTGTTTGTAAGAATCGGCGAATGATCTGAGCCATTCAAAAGTGACTGAAATTCGTTGATATTTTTTTTTACTGAGAACCAGACTCCTCTAATATTTATACGTTATCTTTTGATCGTATATTATTATATCAGCCAATTTTGAGTTTAGCTTAAAATTTTTGGGCATGCATGTGCTCAATTGATTGGGTAGATTGTATATTACCGTTAAATTTATTAATTAGCTAGCCTAGTGGATCATCATAAGGAGGACGCAAAAGAAACTCTCCTCTTTTTCCACTTCCCGGCCGGTTAAGTACGTACGTACCAATGACAGGAATGAGATAATAATAATATGCATTTCGCCATCGATCGTCATCCAAAAACTGGGATCAAGTTCAGATACAATGTTTTCGACCTGTGCTCTTGGCCAACTAGTCATATATTAAATGTTGGAGAAGCCAGTGCCGTAGCCACCTTTACATGCGTGCACTTGTAAGCCGTCTTCCATCAAGAAAACGTGCATTTTGTTTGCTTGAGAATGATGGACTAATTTTTAAGTACACATCGGTCTACAGTACTATACATCGTTAGGCACCGATCTCTTTGCTGCTGGCGGATTCCGGATGATCCAGCGAGTGTATTGAACGATCGATAACTCTTACCAAGTACTCCCTCTGTTTTGACTTTTATCAAAATTAAACTGTTTTAAGTTTAACTAAATTTATAGATAAATATAGCAATATTTATAATACTAAATTAGTTTCATCAAATCAATAATTGAATATATTTTCATAATAAATTTGTCTTGGGTTGAAAATGTTACTACTTTTTTCTATAAACTTGCTCAAAATTAAAACAGTTTAACTTTGACTAAAATCAAAACATCTTACAACCTGCAACGGAGGTAATAAGCACGTCAATGATTCATAATGCACGCTAGTACATATACAAACAGTGGCCGGAACTCAAAATAAAAATGAAGAAAATATTTGCAATTAAGCATGTTTCATACACAAACCATGCATCGTAATGACTAATGAGCAAAATTACACCCGGTTCACGACTCGTGCAAGAACATTAATTAGTAACTAGACGACTGATATATAGAATTAGTATCAACGTTGTAGAGTAGAGTGGTATGTATCATTAGTTTCGCTAGAAAGTCAAGCTCAAATTTAATCTACATATTGAAAAAAAGGAGTTCGTGTCAAGTTTATTTGTTTTTTTAATAATATATCTCTTGATGTGTTAGTTGGATTTGGAGTTAGTGTGATTTTATGAAGTGGTATATATGTATGTAGTATAAAAATTATCTAATTTTTAGATCATTTTATTATCATTTGAATAGTGTTTGAACAAACGGAAGTATAGTCTCAAGTATGTCCTCGAGAGATCAGTAGGGTCTTCCAACGTAATGTGAATGGGTTTAATTCATTCAATAGAAAGATATTTCCAGTTTATACAGGAGCTCCTCCCTTAAGTCCAACTACGTACCGTAAATATATGCTCGCTCTGTATAATAGATGAAACCATTAACTTTTAAACACATGTTTGACCATTCGCCCTATTCAAAAGTTTTATATAAATGTGTAAGATATAAATCATGCTTAAAGTATTTTGAGTGATAAAACAACCCACAACAAAATAAATTATAATTATGTATTTTTTTTTAACAAGACGAATGATCAAATGTGTGACAAAAATCAATGACGTTATCTATTAAGAAAACGGAGGTAGTAGTAGACAATATCAACATAGAAAGTACCGAACCTACTCGAATTCGATCGAATGTGTACGGGGAATCAAGCATGGATCTCTCGGCACGCAACATGGATACTACCTCCGTCTCATTTTAAGTGCAGTTATGATTTTCCGTGTCCAACGTTTGACTGTACGTCTTATTTAAAAATTATATGAAAAAATAATAAAAAAAAGATAGTCTCACCATAAAGTATTATTAATGTTTTATCATCTAGTAATAAATAAAAATACTAATCATAACAATTTTTTTAAGTTAGACAGACAGTCAAATGTTGAATATAAACAACGCAAAACAAATGTCTTTCTAGGATGGTTCTTAGATGGAGGTAGTACATACTAGTTCCAACAAAACAAAGGGAATATTTTGATATTGACTTACTTCCCCATCATCTTCCCCTGGTAACCCGTAAGAAAAATAGAAAAAATACAAACTGGAGCCGCCCAGGTGGCCAGGTGTCTCCAATCAGACCAATCCAATATCAAATCCTGATCCAGCCAGTGCCCAGTGGCCACCACACTGCCTGCCGCAACCAACACCCAGCCACACGACACAGTCGAGCCGTGCCAAACTGCCAAAATGCATATGCAGACGCCGCTAGAACCGAGCCCGCGCGCCAAACTCGATGCCCATCGCATTCTGCATCCATCCCCCGTCCTGTACGTCCCCGGCCACCGCACCGCACGCGCGCATGCGCGCACAGGCGCCGACGTACGAGCCGCCCGCCCACCGGAACGACGTGTCAACCAACCCGGTGGAGGATCAAAAAATAAATTCGTTAGGGTCATAACGTGTGTATATCGGTATCATAGCATACTAATTATACTTAGGGCCTGTTTGGTACAGCTCCAACTCCTAAATTTAGCTCCAGGAGTTGGGTCTGGAGTGGAGTTGTGGAGCTGTCTAAACCCAGCTTCACAACTCTAGTTCATTTTGTGAGAGAGCTCCACCCAGCTCCACTCCCAGTTTTGGTGGAGCTGAAACTGTTTAACTGAGCTCCAGCTCCAGGAGGGGTGGAGCTGGAGCTGGAGCTGTGCCAAACAGGCCCTTAGATCATGGTGTTATAATATATGAATAAATAATTTTTTATAGGTTTGCTTGAAAGTTGTTGGTGTCGCCTGATACCGGCCCTTCAACCGTAGATCCGCCCTTACCAACCTGAACTAGATCGATCGATCGACCGACCTGGCGGCGGGCGGCGCGCCGCGCGCGTGGTACGTGGGTGAGCGTACGCGCACGTCGCCGTCTGCTGCCGTGGCCTACCCGGCAGTCGATCGATCGATCGATCGATCGCGCTGGGCGCAGCCGCAGCAGCTGGCGGGGACGCAGGACAACGGCGCGACTGTTACCTCCCTCGGCGTCAGGGGTGGCGCGACGACGACGTGAACGTGAGTTGAGGGGAGGTTCGCTCGCCTCGGCAGCTTTTGCTCATCCGTCATATCTGTTCTCTGCTCTCCCAACGGCGCAATCGATATGTTGATTGATCTGAAAAGGGAAAAGAAAACGAGAAGAAAAGAGGGATGAATTTATCGTTTCCTTCCAAGAACTGCGGCATCTTAGCAGCACGTTCATTCAAAGCAAAAAGATATTTGGAGAGGATGTTCCTCCAAACATTTTTTTTAAAAAATATGAGCGCGTTGGAAATTAAATATGAGATTTCGGGGTTAAAACCATACCCCCACGGTTAGCAGCATGTAAAGCATCTGAAATTGTGAAAGACCGAAGACAAAATGTATAGCCAGACATATCGCTTACAGATGTATCACAAGAAAGAAAGACATTAGGATTTGAGCGAGTCTGATTAACAAACGACGCATAGCTGAACCCTGATTAACACCTGTGGCCGTATGATCTCTTGCCCCGTGCACTGTCGGTAACAATCGACAAGATCATCTCCCTGTCCGTGCAGTGCACGCAGAACGCTCACATCAGGATACTAACGTTAGGTGGGAACGTAGTTGAAGCTAGAGCACAACAAACAACGAGTGAGAGTAGCAATCGGCAGTATGAGCTGCCAGATCGATTCGACGCTAGCTCGATCGGTTGGTTTGTGGTGCATACCGCCGCGTCGTGTGTCCGTCTTGACAAGACATTCTTGACGCCACCGTTCGCCTGACCTGTCATCAAATTTAGATAAGAAGATATCGTCCAAAATAGAAGTAGGCCGGCTGGTATGGTTCTGTACTAAGGTCTTCGCCTATCCACTCCCACCAGACCGTCTATTGGCTAAAGCTAAATATCCATATCCATCGCTGTCAAACCGCCTCCAGATTTCATATTCAGGTTTTCTTTCGAATTCATAGTCCAATTTGTCAAGTAGAGTACTCCAGTACATTCATGATGCAGCACATTGTGGCTAAGGCTATGTTTAGTTCAGCATAAAGTTTAGATTTTGATTAAAATTGAAGATGATGTGACTGAAAAGAAAAGTTGTGTGTGTATGACAGGTTGATGTGATGGAAAATGACTGAAGTTTGGATCCAAACTTTGGATCTAAACACAGCCTAAGGAGTAGAACTTGGATTAAATAATACAAAAGGACCACTTTATTATATTGAACTTTGGCCTTGTTCGATCTTTGGCCTGAACTCGAGTACTCCAAAATTACTGATTCGAGATCGTACTAACAAAGTTTGTTTTACCTCACACAACGTCGTCTTCAGGGTGACCACCCACGCCCCTAGGGTGTACGGAGTAATTTCAAAGAAAAACAGAATTCTCACCACCCTTTCACATCAAAAACTACATGACAACCACCAGTTCAAGACAACAAATCCTGTAATGTCAATGCTACATGGTTAAAAAGGTCTGTTGCTATGTAAGAGTTCTGTCATAAGAACCACTTCTCTTCATATGGAAACGAACCATTTCCCCCATTCCCTTCGTTTTGCGTATTTACAAAAATCACAACCATCATGTAATACCCACCTCGCCTTTTTACGCGAACAAATGAGCTGAAAATTTTCCACCAAGCAATTACTTTACAGACAACAGGCAACTCAATGTACATTGGCAAGTCGACAAGTCATAAAATGGCAAGAAACTAGATAATGCTATTGGGACGGTCTCAACAGGCTTCCTGACGCAGACAAGCTTCTGACTGCCACTCTCACCGCACCAACAGCACCAAGCTGCCATACCTCGGGGGTCAGCCCATTAAAATCATACTTTGCACCCTCATCAAGGTGAACCCACACGTGAAATGCTACCTGCACAGGCAAGATGTAAGAAAGATGCACATGCTAACTTAACTGTATCACGAGAATGGTTTTGAATCCATTCAACTTCGAAGTTCAAAAGAACCAGAATAGCATAGCACAGGCTTACTACAAACATAGTTATGTTGCAGATATCTAGTTCATCATTACTAAATGAAAACAAGATGCATCAGAAGCCCAGTGCCTTTAAGGAAAGACCAGAGAGACTTGAAAACGAACCTTGCCCGATGCATTTCGTATAGGAGATATATGTAGAAGATCACGGAACGAGCTTCCACCTTTCCTGTTAGAAAGTATCAATAACACAATGTTCTGTTATGTTCAAGGCATAAATTGTACCTGCAAATTGCTATACACTATTTTGTGTAGATGCGAACCTGTAGTTTAGTAGATGAACCGTGCAAGCTTGCTCAGAACAAATATGTTGATTTATCTACACACCCAAATCAATAAGGAATGTAAAGAAATTGAGAATATTTCATAAAGTACATGCAGTCTGACAAGCTATATAATCCTGGTGCGCACCTGTTCTAAAACCTCCACACTAGTGCCAGGACCATTCAAGAATCTGCAGTTACAGCCCAAGATTTCTTCTCTTGAGTAACCTGGATGATAAAAATTTTCAGAACAGAAGCCTTGAATGTAAATGATATTAGCATAAAAAAGGAGATGCAATCGAAATACAAATAATATTTTCAAGATGAAGATTCAGAGAGAGAGAGAGAGGTGTGGTGGCATATCCGCATATTAGCAATCATGCCCCTCTTAACTGAAGAGCATACCAGGATTCAATGATTCCTAACCAATGCATAACATCACTAATTCACTCATGCCCGTCTCAACTCAAGGGTACGCCATGATTAAGTCTGGTACATAGGAACTAAATTTTTTTTGTCTTGTAAGATCAAACATCCCAACATACATGGGAAGAATTTGAGTTTGTAGTAGCAAAAACAAAAATATAAATATATCACAATCAGCTTCACAGACTCACTGAGCCAAGGGCATCACAGTTCACAATAACAGAAGGGAGTACAATACTAGTATTAGTCATAGAACATGGCACTGAAATGTATTACATCACAAATATCTGTATAATGCATATTATATACTAGAAAACAAAATTCAAGTACCTGTTAGTGATAGAAAAGCATCACTAGCATAGATGATCGGCATGTCAGGCAAATGGGGGTCAGTCCTGTGAATCATTTCAAAATAAAACTGCTCTCAATTAATAAAGAGGGAATGAAATGCATATATTTATTTTGAACACGAGATATACGTCAAAACAACAACAATACAAACAGATTATGCAAATAACTCACAATACAAAGCTTTGTTTGATTCTACCAAGAGAAAGATTTAATGAAGAACTGAGTGCTGGGATGCCAACAGAATCACATCTCTTCCCGCAGACCACTAGACCAGTGAGTTTGCTGTAGCGGTTCAACGCAGAGAAGATGCTGTTAGCTGTACTCAGTGCTTTTTCTTTCTCATGTTCGCTAGCTACCCGCGGTTCCTCAGCATCCTGCCCTGCAACAGCAAGCTAGCAACAATATATTCACAACTCCTGCTTATTGTATTGAATGTTTAACGTGCAGTAGAAAAAATAAATAAATAAATGCGACATTGCCAGGTCAAGTATAAAACAATTCTAGTTTTCATAATCTTGCTTGCAGTAAGAATGGCAAATGCAGACTAATTAAGGGTTCCTCGTTTCACTACCTAAGCCTGTATGGGGGGAATTATGACAATCTGATTAGTTCAGAATCAATTCAGTTTCTGATGAACAGTATTTAACATAGTGAATATGCTATAAAAAATAAAATAAGAAATGCAGCATACTTGTTTAAGTGCCCAATCTTGCAAAAGGCAGGGCCAGTGTAATCATGATTACTAAACCCAGAACCAAAGTTTACCACACTACTGAGCAATCTTAAACTATCATCTACTTATTTGTCAATCAACAGATAATAGTAAGATCAGATCAGTGCAACCTTAATCACCCATAAAAGGAATCCAAATGCAAGATAATGCCATATTGCTATATCAAGTTTGCAACGCTCATTTCATAGACATAAATTGCAGGAGATTACAATGGTGAAATTAATGCAGCTCACTTTGCAATTAATGGTCATTACTAATGGTCGAAAAATTTACTGCTCAATTGGAGAACGGTTGGTCTTAACAAAATTAATCACTCCGTAACTGGTAAATTTGGCACGGCCAGTAGCCCGCACTGACCTCTCTTATCCACATCCACGAACACCTCCCCCGCGTGGCTCGCGCAGGGGCACTCCTCCTCCACCCTGGCCTCCTCGCGGCACGCCGCGAACACCACGAACGGGCGGGCGGCCCGGCACGGCGGCGTGCGGCGCCGGGACGCGGGCGGCGCGATGGGCACCTGCACGGCGAGGAAGTGGAGCACCCGGCCGTCGGAGGCGTGGAAGACGGGCGCGAGGTGGAGCAGCACCCAGTGGGCTTCCCCGTCGCGGCGGTAGTTGAGGATGGAGACCTGGTGCGGCCGCTGCCCGCGCACGGCCTCCCGCACCCCGGCCACCGCGGCGCGGTCGGTGTCGGCGCCCTGGAAGAGCCTCGCGTTGCGGCCGAGCACCTCCCGCGGCGGGTACCCCGTGAGCGAGGCGAGCCCCCTGGAGGCGTAGACGATGGGGTGGCCCGGCATGGCCGGGTCGGTGAGGATGAAGCTCCCCGGGAGCTCGTCCAGCGCCTCCACCACCCAGTCCGAGTACCGCGCCGTCAGCGACGCCGCCAGCCTCCGCTCCTCCGCCTCCGCGCCCTCCATCGCCGGCTTGGACGCGGTGATCGCCGCCTCGCGCCCTCGCCTCGCCGTGGGGGAAAGTCAAGGGAGGAGGAGGAAGAGGAGAAAAGATCTGCGTGGCGTGGTGTGCGGGGTATGGCTGTAAAATCTCGGGGGTTTTTTTGGCTTTGCTTTTTCCGGGGGAGCTCTCATCTGATGCGGTTGTGTGTCAGGGCTGCACACAAGTTGTGTGAGTGCGACGGGGCCAATCCGAACGGTGGGCGTGGCGATTCGTCCGCGGCTTCCACCGACGGACGCACGCCGCCTTGGGTTTTGCAGGTTGGTTTCCTCCACTTTCCAGCCACGAGCCCACGACCACTGCCAAATTGCCAAGCTGCTTCACCTGCTGCTGGCTGCTGTCGTGGAGCTTTGGGCGAGGACGTGGCGGATTGGGACGACACGTCTCGCGTGCGCGGCGGGATGGGCCGAGGGAGGCAAGGGGACCAGGGGGGTGGGATTTGCGCGCGTGCTGAAAGGAAACTGTAGCGCTCGGCCCAGTCGCAGTCTGACAGCGTCGTTTTCGGTCAAGGCCCATCATTGAGTGATACGTGCTGCTTCGCTTCTGGTGCTCTCGATCTCACTGTACTCAATCCGCTCAATAGCAAAGTCCATTTTATGTCCCTTAACTATACAAATTGAGTTTGTGCCACATCCCTCAACCGCGAAATCAGGTGTCGTCCCACAACTTCTAAAATCGATGCAAACGAATTTTCTCGATAGCGTTATGAGCTGTTTTGGCTAACGTGATGTCCACGTGACATGAGTATCTATAATGATGGAAGAATCGATTGCGATCGTACTGAAACCGAGCAGAAAATTCAGCAAATCAGCATATATATAGAGTTGAGTATTCAAGCGTTCAGTTTGAAATTAAAATTAAGCAAACCGACCAGAAAATTAGTGGCCAGTTTGAATTGCCATCCGCTTTGGCATTGACAGAATGACAGGAGCCGGCCCAGCATGTCAAATTAAAGCTTTCGTTCTCCTTATCGGTTCATGCAAAAGACGACACCTTGTTGTTAGATAGAGTAATAATAAGAAATAATGGCCCTCTTTTAAAGACTACTCCCTCCATCCCAAAAAGAAACAAACCCTGGATTTCCGTGTCCAACGTTTGACTGTCCGTCTTATATGAAATTTTTTTTATAATTAGTATTTTCATTGTTGTTAAATGATAAAACATGATTAATACTTTATGCGTGACTCATCTTTTTAATTTTTTTCATATTTTTTTTAAATAAAACAGATGGACAAACTGGACACGAAAACCCAGGGTTTCAAATAAGACGCATGCATGACGTTCGAATATGTAACTGGTTCCAGACTTCCAGCTCCAGCCAACCACTTGTCGCTCACGTCCGTCCGTGCCGGTTGTTTGCTTAATACTCCATCGATCGTCCCAGTCCGACCGATCGCGCGAGCAAAGCCTCCTCCTCTCCCTGCGGCGCTGCATGCACGCCCGTGTGGGGCACGACCACTGCGTGCATGTTACCCGGCGGCCGGCCAGCTTGCCGTGCTGGCCGGCCGCGTACCCTAGCTGCTTGTGAGCCCGTCTCGAGCGCGTATGAGTAGCGGTTGCTTGACCGACCAATCAAGTTTATGTGGAAACACGGGGGATGTTTAGAAGGTATAGTTGCTCCAAGTTTCGTGCAGCTATAGGTGTCAAAATTTAAGGAGGGATGCCCCGATACATACGCGCATGCTTATGCATGAGAATTTTTTTTCCTTGTATTGCATCTAATTAATACTCAATCCGTTTCTAAATGTTTGACACCGTTAACTTTTTAGCACACGCTTGACCGTTCGTCTTAGTCAAAAAATTTATGAAATATGTAAAACTATATGTATACATAAAAGTATATTTAACAATGAATTAAATGATATGAAAAGAATTAATAATTACTTAATTTTTTAATAAGACGAATAGTAAAACATGTTTAAAAAAAATCAACGGCGTTAAATATTAAATATTTAGAAACGGAGGGAGTAACTCGTAATATTCCTCCGGTCTCGACTCTCGAACTCCCAATCCTATTTTGTATACTGCTAGTGACGTTTTCCGACTCGGCCGTGCAGGTTCGGGTCCCAAACCGAACTCGATTCGTTGTACATGCATGCACGTATGCCGGTGATAGGTTACACGGTTTGATCGATCGATCACGTCGTCGGCCGCGCGCGCTCGTATATATTGGATCGATGTGGTGATAGCCTTGCTTGGATTAGTGGCGTCCTCCGGCCGGCCGCTGTCTCGTTATATGCACCGGGATATGTCCGACTCGTCGTACAACCGACGTACTGGCCGGGACAAAATGTCCGACTCGAACTCGAGCACATAGCTTGCAGCCCTGCTTGGTTCCGGCCTAGCCCATGGTCTCAGGCAGAAGACTCTCAGCCTATACTTGGATACTAGCTAGTGACGTTTTTCGTCTCGGCCATGCAGGGGTTCGGGTCCCAAACCGAACTCGATTCTTTGTACATGCATGTTGGGTCGATGTGGCCATCTCTCTCTCTATATACACAAGACGGGGGAGGAACGTACTCAGCATAACAGTCCATCGACATTTATGTGATACTATCCGCGCGCTAGCTGATCGTGCGTGCGAACTCTCTAAATTAAATTCCGATGCCGTCGTCGTCGTCGTCGACGGCGGTGCCGGAGGAGATCGAGCAATGGTTGGTGCTCGGGAAGCAGGCGCTGTGGGTGGAGGACTTCTCGGGGACGTGCCAGCGGGAGTGCTTCTGCGCCAGCTGCTTCCACGCCTTCTGCACCCACTGCTGCTGGTTCCACCACGAGCCCACCATCCACATGGTCTTCCCCGTCGCCGCCGACGCCGCCGGCCGGGGAGTCTACGCCACGCACGGCCCGGACGGCTGCCGGGTTCACCCGGACTTCGTCGAGGACGTCCTCGCCGCGCAGGACTACGCCACGCGCCTCCCCTGGGACGCCTTCTGCCTCCTGTGCGGCACCGCCTTCGCCGCCGCCGCGTGCCCGGACCACCACCGCCACCACCACGACCCGAGCTTGCCCGACGCCGTCCTCCGCGTCGAGCGGCGCGGCGGGCGCCACTGCGTGCGCTGCACGGGGTCCGAGTGGTGGTTCCCCTACGTGGAACAGATCCTGGACGACCCGGTGGAGGACGACGGCGACGAGCAGCTTCTCCCGGTGATGACGAGGAGACCGGGCAGCTGCAAGCAGTGCGGCGACCCGGACACCGGCTACTTGATCGCCGTCTGCTCCAGCAGCTGCAGCGAGAGCTACCGAAGGGACCTCGCCGGACGAAGGCAGCGACGGGAGGTCAGGCAGGCTGCGCGCGCAGCCGCAGGCGACCAAGCAAAGCAACTAATCGATGGGTTAAGGATAAGTAATTATTAGAATAAACTACTTATATATGCTTGTTCCGGTAAATCCAAGTTTAATTAGAGCCGTATAGTTGCAATGTTTACGAAACTGCAGGATATTGCACACGGTCAAAATTAGTTTTTCAGGTGCTGGGCTAGCCGCTACGGACCAAAGATCAGAGAAAATCACTATCGAGCTCTTTTTTTACTGTATGCATGCGAAAATCTATTGATTTCTGTAGATAACGAGATTAAGCTCACCGCTTGACTTTTACGGTACAATGTATTGGCAGTATATACTGTCAGTATTTACAAGGATACAATACAAATTTGCTAAAAAAATTGTAAATGATATTTTAATAATCTATTCTTAGGTTCAATCTCTATCTTTTGGCGTCGCCGTGCATGATTCAGGTGAGGGAGAGACGAGCCAGGCGGTGCGATTAGTCCTCTTTGGTGACTGGATTCACCGGCGCCTGCTTCCTGTTCAAGCGGCCAATCGCCGCCTCCCACCACCGTCTCATGCGATCTGTGCACACGAAAATGCATGCATTAACATATGTACTCTTATGTTCTCGTGTTATGTTCTTGCAAATATTCTCTGCAATTTTAATCTGTAGAATCTGACCTTAAGATGGCAATGGTACAGGGAGCGTCACCAGTAGAGCTAGGGTTCTGTGCCCTAGAATTAATTAGTATTCCATCTGTCCCCTAATATAAGGGATTTTGATATTTTGTTGGTACTGTTTAACCATTTGTCTTATTCAAAAAAAATTAGAATTATTATTTATTTTTTTACTTATTTTATTATCCAAAATACTTTAAGCATAACTTTTTTTTATATTTATACACAAATTTTTTTTGAATAAGACGAGTGGTTAAACAGTGAAAAAAAAATTAAAATCACTTATATTATGGGACTGAGAGAGAACTAAATCACCATGCCTAATCGATTTTGAGCGTTAGTGTTGCGATGTGTTTGTGGTGGCTGGCACGGCGAGCGTCGGCTGTGTGGCTGCTGGCACAACTCCGCCGCCTGGTGTGAACGGGAGGATGGGAATGGGGAATCGGAGCTGGCTTGTATGCTGGAATTTACGAAATTGCCACCATGAAATAAAACAAAAAGACCAACATATCCTTGTTGGAATTATACTACAAATCTAATTAAGTGGGTAGGTAATCAATCTACACCGTTGGATCATTTATACTGTCAGTATATACCATCAATATATTGTATAGTAAAATTGCTCTTATTTTTTGCAGGCGGCTGCAATAATACGACCGCCTACAATTGTTTTTCTTAAATAACAATTCAAAAAAATATTACGAAATTATAATTACAATAAAATGTCTTAGGGAGAAACGCTCAGGGGTCTTCCGGCTAGCTCCACAAGGCGGTGGGCGGACTTGGGTTCGAAGCATCACCCCTTCTAATTATTTGATATTAGGCACTTCCCTAATATTCGTGTCTTTTTATAAAATATCTTAGTACTAGAAGACTTCGAATAAATCCTTTTTTTTGTGGTCTGGGCTTGCTCTGCATTGATCCAACAAGGCTCGGAAGAAGTTCACCTGTTGTTCCTCCTCTTTACGTTGAGTTTAATAGATATCCCTAAACCGTAATACTAGAAATCTTCACATCTCATCTTGACAAGACCGTTTAAGTCAAGTCCCACGATAATATGGAGGGATGGTTTCACTAATGTGGTATCCTAGTGAGCAAAATATTTTTTTTAAAAAAAGTGGGGCCCACATGTAAGTGGCTACCTCCTTCTTCCTCTACAAATCTCACTTTGCTGCAGCGTGGGGTGCCATGACCACCCGAGAAGGAGGATGGTGACATAGAGGGGATTGTGGGGGTAGACACCGGAGCAGGAGGGGAGCAGGAGGGACGCGAGCAATCGTTTATTAGCCATTTAGGGAGGTGTGTGCGCGTGAAGCCTAGGTTGCCCATGATGTGTTGCTATTTTTTTCTATCTCCTCCTACACGAATCTTAGAACAAAACCAACGATTCAAAATTCTACGTTTTCTCCCCAAAAATCCGTCGACGAAAAAAAATAGCAATTGCAATAGATTGATCCCTAATGCGTGCACACCTCGGCCACTATGTTCCGAGGAGGGGAGCTCGAATGTCGGAACAAGCCTGTGCCGCCGTCGCTTTGCCTCAAGGTCACAACGCGTCGAGGCCACCCAGATGCCCCTCCACCTTAAGGTCACCCCACTGCTGCACCGCTCAAGGGTGCGCCGTTGCCGCTCCGCCTCAGGCCATCGCCGTGCGGAATGGAACTGTCATCCTCCCTAGGTCCGTCATCCGCATTCACAGCCAATGGTTCTAGCTTTGTAGGGGAGGAGGGAGGGAGGAGGGGATTCGGTTGGTGCGAAGTTAGGAGGACAAGTGAGCCCATAGTTTTTAATTTTTTTCCCCCTATTCTCTTACATGTGGGTGCACTTCAAATTTGTGATTAGACTACCATATTAGTACAAGTGGACTAAGTCAACGTGCCACGCCAGTGGAAACCACCATTGAAACTGCTAAGGCCTGGTTCGGTTTGGAGGGGATTAAGAGGGAATAATTCCACACCATAATAGGTGTGGAATAAATCCCCTCCAATCCCTTTCTCATGGGGATTAACTGAACAAGGCTTAAGGGAGTTAAATTATACCAGTTTTAATAGTTAGAGGGTAAAGATATCATATACTGTATTACGGTTGGGATACGAATTAGAGTGGACCTGTATTTGAGGGTATCACAGTGCACTTATCTTAAGTTTTTCAACATGGGCAGCCTGCAATTTCATGGGCCGAACAGAAAGGCTGAGAGGCTGAGACCATGGGCTAGGCCGGAACCGAGCAGGGCTGCAAGCTATGTGCTCAAGTTCGAGTCGGACATTTTGTCCCGGCCAGTACGTCGGTTGTACGACGAGTCGGACATATCCCGGTGCATATAACGAGACAGCGGCCGGCCGGAGGACGCCACTAATCCAAGCCAGGCTATATCACCACATCGATCGAATATACGAGCGCGCGCGGCCGACGACGTGATCGATCGATCAAACTGTGTAACCTACCACCGGCGTACGCGATCGATCGAGCACCCGTACACACGGTATCACAAACATGGAGGACGCTGCTGATCTTTCAGGAGTAGCGCAAGCCAAATCAATCAGATCAGCAACACAGACGAAGGCCGAGGCGCCGCCGCCGCCGCAGCAGCAGCAGCCGGACGTGGCGGCCGAGATGGAGGAGGAGGAGTACTGGGATCGGCGGCGCCCGATGTCGCCGGATCCTCCGGAACTGCGGGACGGGCTACGGCGGCTGAAGGAAGCCGAGCGCGCCATGGGCGTCGACGAGAGGGCCGCCGCCGCCGTGTTCGCGAGGCCGGGGCAGAAGAGGGCGGTGTCCGAGATCCCGGAGGGGTGGTCGGCGGAGTGGGACGACTCCCTGGAGATGGTGAAGCGTTACAGGTGCAACTACTGGGAGAACCCTAACTTCGCCGACTTGCTGCGGGATCATGGTCCGCTCTTCGCCCGCGCTGCCGCCGCCATGAACGACATGGAACGATGGGATTAATTGGGGTCTGACGACCCGTAAGCCCTAGATTATGCTTCATCTAGCTAGCCTAGATTATGGGATTGGGGTCCTCGAATTTGTATTTTTTTTCTTTTCACCGTTTTTGGCCCCAAAATCAATTATGGCATGTGGTCAACTTTATCTAGTCGTCTAAAAGATTTATTTTCGCAAACAATTAACAGAGCTCCTGTAAAGGATTGTAGATTTTCTCACATCTTTGGTCTGTAGCGGCTCGCTAGCCCAACACCTGAAAAACTAGTTTTGACCGTGTACTGCAATATCCTGCTGTTTCCTAACTGCATATACAAGTAGTTTATTCTAAGGAAATACTTGTCCTTAACCGATCGATTAGTCCCGTTGCTTGGGCACCTGCGGCTGCGCGCGCAGCCTGCCAGTGCCTGACCTCTCGTCGCTGCCTTCGTCCGGCGAGGTCCCTTCGGTAGCTCTCGCCGCAGCTGTCCCTGGCTCCCACAGCCCACCAAAGCAACGGCCCACGAATTCCACGCCGCTCCGCAACAACACAAGCCAGTACTAGTGGGGCACGGCCGCACGGTGGGTTTTACTGTGTACGCCTGGTCCGTCTTCGAATAATCATCATCAACGCACGCACAGTCAGACCATCCAGAAGCTTAGTTTGCATCTCTCGATCAGCTTGCAATTGCTTGCAGGTTACAGCTTAAATTGCCTCTCGATTGACATTACGACACCCTATAGCGAGCCAGCAATATTATAGACGATTCATCACTTGTCAACGGCTAATTGTATTCCTTGAGAAAAATCAAATTGTCAACGGGCTAGCGCTATTACAACGTTGTTAGCTTAGCTTAATTAATGTCTTTGATACAAAATGTCAACGGACAAGATCAGGTTACGCATGCAATTGTGGCCATAGAGCTTGCATTGCCTGCCTCCATGACTCCGTTCCCCCCCCCCCCTCTCCTTTTTTTTTTACGCAAAAAGGTAGAGAGACTCTATCTTATATCTATTAAAGTAATGGCGTGTCAAAATTACAGGCATTTATCAGAAGGCGTAGATTGGGGGAACGTTTTCCAGTTTTACTCGGCTGATCGGCTCGACGACGGCACCTTGCGGCGGCGGCACAGAGTGCAGCCTGCAACACAGCACAACAACAGTGCTAGTGCGATGCAGCGGCGGACTCGCACGCGGCGCGGAGTGGGCGTGGGTTGCGCGCGCGCGGGACGGCGGCGGCGCAACGCTATTGCGTGATAAGATGAGATGAGATCGCATCGCTACGCTAGGGGCTAGGGCGAGAGGAGAGAGACAGAGTCGTGCAACGCCGCGACATTCTGAATTCGATACACGTGCGTGTGGGGCCTGTGCGCGGTTGGTGCCGGGAATCAGGAGGAATAGGATCGCTACTTTTTTTTTCCAATAGTCACTATTTTTTCAAAAAAGTGGGATCGGTCGCCGTTTGTTTAAGTGGTCCAGGACCACCCGGAACACCCTCTAAATCCGCCATTTGCCTACCCCTCGTTCGTCCCGCCTTGCACTGGTTGAAATACAACTGAGCGTCAATTATTCACATAAAACCCTACTTGCTAGTTTACTGTTTACATAACACTACAAAATTTACAAAAGAAAATGAGTTATTAGAAATGAGATGAGCGGATAAAAAAATGCCAGTCACCCGAACGCCCGGCCCGGCGGCGGCTGGCACCAAATTGATTTGCGCATGTGTCATGTACTCATGTGTGCGCAGCAATAATAAACGAAAAGAAAGAAAAAACCCAAGAGATTCTCGGATGATGCCATTTTTAATTTTATATACCGATTGGTCGGTCGCTAGCTGCAGGTGCACACGTACGTACGTAAAAAAGTCCACTTGCCACGACACAACGACCACATATGGGCCACCTCTCTCTCTAACTCTTTTTCTCTTTTCTTTTCGCGAGACAACACAGCTCCAGACTTAAACTAATTTTGCTCCTCACAACTTTCCACATTGGCCATCGATAGCGTATATATACATGGACTCATGGAGTACAACTGTATAATGTATACCGAAAAAAACTTTTCTTTTTGTGTGTGCCGCTGGTGGTGGTCGGCTAGCTGGAGCTTTCAAGCTTCGATTAATTTCTTCCAATTAATACGTACGCAATATATAAACGTACTTACGTGACGAGAAGTCGTCGGACATATCACCCTAAATCCAGCTCCTCTCCTAGCTTGGGAATCGAATCTGGTTAGTACTATATATCTTCTCCAATGTCAGTTTCTGCACGAGTCGATAAACCTTTTGGAGAGACAACGAAAGCCTTGACTTATAGCTTGTTGCCGCTGCACTAATATATACGCCCTGCCCTCCTCTTGCCAATTTGATGGCATGTCACTGGTCGCAAAAAGATTGGGCAATGCATGAAAATATATTGCATTTTCGATCTCCTGTTGATCTGCTTACTTTTTTTTTCTTCGGTTTCACTACGACATCTTCAATTTTTCTAAGCTATAGCTGAGTTGGATTTTTAATTTGCTCCTGCTACTCCAGAAGCCAGTGTGCGTGGGCCCGACCTAGACGAGAAGTATTCTTCGTTTGTTTGACTTTGACTCGATTAATTGTTAGTTATGCAGTTTTTTATCTGTATAATAATAACACGACGGAGAGCTACAATATTTAGAGGATAAAAATCCATTTGCTTCGGGGCAAAGGCGTTACGTATGTACATGATGACGGCTTCTTATGACGCGAGGCAACTTGTTAATGGCATCATCATTTTCATTTTTATTTTGACAGGACTATACTAAATAACTGAACTCCGATCACTTCACCAGGAACTGATCCTAAAATTAATAAAGGCTGTGTTTAGATCCAAACTTCAGTCATTTTTCATCACATCAACCTATCATACACACACAACTTTTCAGTCACATCATCTTCAATTTCAACCAAAATCCAAACTTTGTGCTGAACTAAACACAACCAAAGAAGAAAAGCTTCGCGCACAGAATTAAGATATTATTACAGACAGAACCGGTTCATCCTAGTACTTAGCTTCTAAACTCAGATATTAACCTTGACGACGATCGATCTCGATCGACTACAACAAACACAAAAGTCATATTAACTTGAGACACAACATTATATATTGATGCTACATTATTCTCTTGCCCTTTGAGTTTTGACGGAAATGATCGACGATATGCATATTACCATCCAGTACGTGATCGAACTACCCTTAATTCAATGGCGATCAAGATTAATTCATTAAGTTCTTCTTACTGCAAAGCGCGATGACGATCGTCGAGTTAAGGCCTTGTTTAGTTCACATGTCACATCGAACGTTTAAATGCTTATATGAAGTATTAAATATAAGCTAAAAAATTAACTAATTGCATAGAGTACGACTAATTTGCGAGACAAATCTTCTAAGACCCTATTTAGATGGGACTAAACTTTTAAGTCCCTATCCCATCGAATGTTTGGACACTAATTATAAATATTAAACGTATACTATTAATAAAACTCATCCATAATCTTGGACTAATTTGCGAGACGAATCTATTGAGCCTAATTAATCCATGGTTAGACTATGTAATGCTACAATAAATATTCTCTAATTATGGATTAATTAGGCTTAAAAAATTATCTCGCAAATTAGCTTTCATTTATGTAATTAATTTTGTAAGTAGTCTATATTTAATACTCTAAATTAGTGTCTAAATACAGGGACTAAAGTTAAGTCCCTGCATCCAAACACCACCTAAGCCTAAGGGCAAGTGCTATGGTGGATGTGACTACTACCTCTAAATTTATCTATTTTATTCACTCATTAACTAAGAGGCAGCTCATACAATGTATCACCTCTAGTACATAAATATCAATATCTCTAATACTCTCATACCCTTTTTAAAATTTGTGTGGAGGTTGCCTCTTGATTTAGAGGTGACTCATCATCTCTCTCCTCACTTATCTCCTCCACCTCATCATTCAATAAAATGTGGTATTTTTAGGGGCAACATATGGAGCATTATAGTACTTGCCCTAATTGCTCCATGATTTGACAACGTTGTGCTACAGTAAACATTTACTAATGACGGATTAATTAGGCTTAATAAATTTGTCTCGCGGTTTACTGACGGGTTCGGTAATTAGTTTTTTTATTATTACACGAACATTCCATGCGGCACCCTATATAATATCCGATATGACAACTCAAAACTTAAAAACCCCTGGATCTAAACACCACCTAAGTCAAATCGCGCAATTAGCTAGTCCAAAGTGTTGACCAGTTATCTACTGGCGGCAACGCAGTATAGCCAGTAGGTAGTACAGTAGTAGTAAAGTTCACATTGTTTTTGTAGCATCTTTGATTAACGTATGGCCCCTCGTGTTGTCCAGTAGTGCAGCTTGTGGACTAGCTATAGCTGCTTCGTCTCTATATAACTTGAACTCTAGCTAATCCGCATAAACTCTATTAGCAAAGTTAGGTTTCTTAGCATGCTCATCTGCAAGTGATCGATCGATGGCATATAGGATTTACATCTTTTTGATATCCAGGTAGCAAATTATTGCATGGAGCTAGCTAGATTTGCTTTAGTTGAGTACTAATGAATCCACAGCCATAGTTACTCCTCACTTTCACCGTGCCACTAATTTACAATTAGCTTTGATCAGTAGTAGACTAGTACTAGTAATTTAAGTACACTAGTACTGTTGCAAGTTGCAACCATGGACACCATATCTGGCATGTTCCGGCCGGTGTTCGACCGGATCAGGCCGTCCATTGCTTCCGCCGCCGAGCTCAGCTTCAGCCGCGTCGTCAGCTTCACCGGCTCCTTCAACAGCCGGACCGGCCTGCTGGCGGCCGGCGACGGCGAGGAGGAGACGACGCCCGCGCAGACGGCGGCGTTCGACATCGAGGCGCCAGCGACAGCGACGACACCAGATCAAGCTGTCCGTGATGATGCCGCCGCTGCCCAGGAAGGGGAGGCTGCCGGCGCCGCCGCCGCCGACGACGACGCCGACGAGCCGAAGCGCGTGTCCAAGATCGTCCAGACAGTCTGCCTGTTCGTCGCGTCGGCGTCGCTGGCCATGTCCGTGAACCTCCCGGCGAGCGGGGCCGGCGGCGCGCTCTACGGCGCGACGCTGGCGTTCGTCTGCCTCGGCCTGTTCACCAGCCTCGGCCTGTTCACCAGCCTCGGCCTGTCCATGTACACCATCGTGTCCAGGCCCGGCGACGCCGCGGTGGCGATGGTGCAGAAGTGGGCGATGGTGCTCGCCATGGCGTCCGTGCCCGCGTCGTTCACGCTGCGCCTGTGCGCCACGCTCCCCGCGGAGACGCTGGAGTCGGCGTGGCTCATCTTCTTCCTCCTTGCCGGCGCCGCCGCGCTCTACCTCACGCTGGCGTGGAAGCTGGCCGGCGGTGTACGGGCCCAGCACCGGAGCGTCAACGAGGAGCGGGTCGCCGGCGACCATGTCTAGCTCAATGCACGTTGACGGACCGAGATTTTTAATTACTAGCTCATATCATAGTACGACCAGACCAAACCCGGGACATCGAGGAATTTTACGGTAATTTTTATGGAAATTCCTTTAGAATTCTTCCATGTCAAGATAGGCCTGAGATGGAAATTGTGGCATAGATTTGAACATAGCCGTGCTCAACAAAATTAAGCATTGGGGTAGATATAAACTGATGTACTATGAAATAAGCGGAGGGAAAAAAATCCGGCCGGGCGTATGTACAGTTATTTGCCGGATCCCATGTACAGAGTAAATATTACTACCACATTTTCCTTTGTTTAATGCACCTATTTTCAATATTGCAGAAATGTAATAACAAGATGTGGCATGCACAATTGCACGGCGAGCATCCATACAAAATTTTCTAATTCCTTTACACGTAATTTTCTTTAAAATTTGTTAAATAGTCATCTCGTTGGCATAGCATTTCGAAAAACCGAACATTAACTTTATTGGATTTTTAATTTTATATTTTTTTAAAAGTCATACCAACCGCTATATCTTACTCATTTCTTGTCTGTTTATTTTTGTTTGTTCAATCTGCCACAGTTTCTACTTATGTACGATGGAACCTTTAAATACCAAATCTTATAGTTTTTAGAGTTTAGTGTCACGTCATTTTCTCTTTTAAATAGATGATGTCGTTAACTTTTGAGCACATGTTTGACCATTTGTCTTATTTAAAAATATTTTGCAAATATATGAGATATAAATTATGTTGAAAGTAGTTTAAGTGATAAAACAACTCAAAACAAAATATATTATAATCACGTAGATTTTCTAAATAAGACGAACGGTCAAATATATGATAAAGATAACGGCGCTATCTATTAAAAAAAACAGACAGCCGGCGGAACTTACATGAGTCGGTGAGTGAGTACGTGGTCGGCTGGGAACTACAAATCTGGAACCAATTTCATTTTCGCATGTGTCATGTAATAAATAAACAACATATATTCTCGGATATACCGCTACTACTTCAATCCCAAAATAATTATAAATCTAGGTTGTTTAGTACTTCTTTCGTTTCATATTATAAAACTTTCTAGCATTGCCCATATTCACACACACACACACACACATATATATATATATATATATATATATATATATATATATATATATATATATATATATATATATATATATATATATATATTAATGAATCTAGACATATATATGTGCCTAGATTCATTAATATCTATATGAATATGAGCAATGCTAGAAAGTATTTGACGGAGCTCGTGGCTCCTCACCGGGAGACCGCGCAGGCCCCCCTTTGCCGGTTCGGCCGGGGGCTTAGGGTGAGATCTCAAGCTCTCTCTGTATGTGGAAAGATTACTCGCCGGCAAGACACACGAGACACGGCGATGTATACAGGTTCGGGCCGCCGCGAAGCGTAATACCCTACTCCTGTGTTTTTGTGGATTTGTGTATGAATGAGCTACAAAGTGTCCGCCCACTTCTCCCCCGCTCTAGGCTCTAAATCTGGCCAGAATCAACCCCCCCCCCTTCTCTATGGGCAAGGTCCTCCTTTTATACTTCAAGGGGATACCACATGCACCCTTCCCTTTCCAAACTGGACTGTTCTTCTTTTTTTTCTTTAATCGGCGGAGATTGGTATGGTTGTCGTCCAAATGACACTTCGATGGGACAGCTCACACCTACCTCCACCCCCGGCGGAGACGGGCGCAACGTGAGATCGTGGCTGCCCGTTGCTGATGCGACCAGTGTCAGACCGGTCATTCGTGTCCACCACGCGTCAGTTTAACAACGTGCATGTTTGCCCTTCTTCGTGTAACACCTTGCCTGTAATGGTTAGGATGAAGCCTGGTATAAATCTACCAGGGCTAACGTGCCATCTCTAAGAGATAACACGCTAGCTCCGGCTTGAGACGAGTTGCCTTGAGGCTTTCGTCTTGACGGGATGGGGCGAGGCGTGCGTCAGACCGCCAGTCGCCACCTAACCCTTGATCTGACCGGTCTGTGACTGGTCACAGACCGGATAAAAGAGCGTGCTGTACCGCGTTGCACGCAGCGTGACACGCTTGACCAGACTGCAATAAATGCTGTTAGGTGAGCACAGCTGTGCTCACTTATCCCATATACGTGGCGCAGACTTCTTTAAGGGGTCGGGGTGCCTCGGCCCTCGGGGCCGGGGCAAACGCAACCCGACCCCCCCCCCCTCGGGGGAAATCAGGAGGAGGGCGGACACCTCACCCTCGGGCCCGACGTCCCCGAAGGTGCCAGGCCACGTGGGCGATTGCGTCTGCCTCAAGCCTCTGGTCATGATACTCCCGGTCCCATATCACCGACAGTAGCCCCCGGCGTTATGCCAGAGCAATTTCCCTTCCCAAGGGAAGCGGTCAGGTGTGACGCCACCCCTAAAGCCTGGTGACAGGTGGGACCGGTCTCCATAGTTGGGCAAAATACCCAACGGTCTTAATCCATGCATATTGGTATTGGCAACTTTGGTTGTCCATAATGAGCGGTCTATTCAAGACTGCCACATCACTTGAGCAGCGCGCGAATCTGGGTGAGCAGATTTGTCTCGCTTGGAGATACGGTAACGCCGCTTTGGTTGGCGAGCGTAATTAACGTGCGCACGATACAATCCGTTTTGATTGCCACAACCGCATATCCACTTCATGCGCCGTAAGCGGGCGAATGGGATTAGTGGAAGCGTGGGCACAGGAAACGAGGGAGCGAGATAACGAGATACGAGGGAGCGAGGTAGTGGGCGCGAGAAACGAGGAGCCAGGCCCAGCGACGGCAAGGGTATAAAAGCATCGAGAAAAGGATTTGCTCCCTTCCTTTCGCCATTGTTCCTCTTGCCTTCGCCGCCTGAGCTCTAACTCTTTCTCTGCTACGCCCTACTTTCGCCACACGCGCTCGTTCCCAATCATCTCTTCCTCCACCGCCATGGCACGGGGCTCTGCTCTGCTCGACGGCAGTGTACTGCCGCCTTCCCGCATCGTGAACGAGAGGCACGCCGGACTGCCGCGCCGCTTCATGCCGGAGTCCGCCACCGGTCGGGAGATAGTGACGCTGGGCGAGGGGCGCCCGGCACCAGACTACCCGGGGCGGTCCATCTTCTTCCTCCCCTTCGCAATGGCTGGGCTGGTCCCGCCATTTTCTCATTTCTTCATGGATGTCCTGGAGTTCTACGATCTCCAGATGGCGCACCTCACCCCTAATGCGGTGATGACATTGGCCATCTTCGCACACCTGTGCGAGATGTTCATTGGGGTGCGCCCCTCTCTTCAGCTGTTCCGGTGGTTCTTCACCGTGCAGTCGGTGTCACCGCCGTCGGTGGTCGGCGGCTGCTACTTCCAGCCGCGGGGGCCGGTGTTGAACCGCTACATCCCCTGCGTCCTCCGCAAGAAGTGGGACGACTGGAAGAGCGACTGGTTCTACACCCCCCTCGCCGACGAAGCGCGCCTCCGACTTCCAAGCCAGCCCCCGGCGCAGGTCTCCAGCTGGCGGGCGCCGGTAGATCTGGGGGAGGAGTACGACGCCGTCCTCGACCGCCTGGCGGGCCTGCGATCCCAAGGGCTCACCGGGGCCATGGTGTACGGCGATTACCTCCGTCGCCGGATTGCGCCGCTCCAACGGCGCGCCCGGAGCGCCTGGGAGTACACTGGGCCTGAAGACTACATGCGGACCCACCAGGGAGCCAGATGGGATTGGGCTCCTGAGGACTTCAAGATCATAGTCCAAAGGGTGCTGAATCTTAGCTCCGCGGAGGCGTCTCGCCTTCCTCAGGAGATCCTCCCCCTCTGCATAGATCCCGACCGCGTCTCCATTCTAACCATTATGTTGGGGGTCGGGGCCTCAGAGGAGAGAGCCCCTAAGGGCCACGACGGCGCGGGTGAGCGCCGCCGGGGGGAACAACCTGCCCCCGGAGGGGGTCGTGCTTCTGGGCCCCGCGTCGGGGGCTCGGGGAGCAGCCGCCCTGCCGACGCCCAGGGGAAGAGGAAGCTGGGAGGTACACCTCCCCCATCTCCTCCCCGAGGGGGCGGGGCGGCGCGTGCCAGCAGTCGGCGCCCGGAGGGGGCCGCGCCGACGTCGCAGCCCGAGGGGGTGCGCAAGAAGAAGCGGCTCCGCAAGACGGGGGAGACGGAACCATACCGGGGAAACCTGATTTCCCCTCCAAGGTGGTCATTCAACCGACCCCCTCGCAGGTTCGTCCCACTCTCATTGCAACCATCTTTCTCCAAAAAGAAGTTTTTTTTTTTTTTTTTTTTTTTTGCTCACTTTGTTCGTCTTCTGGCTTTTTCTTCTGCTTCAGCGATGTCCCGTCGCATTCCTCCCGCCACCCCAAGTCCGGCCAGTCCGAGGCCGAAGATCCAGCGGCCGCAGAGGAGCGGAGGCGAGAGTCTGACCGGCGTGAAGCCGCAGCCCGCCTTCGGGAAGCTGAAGAGACCGCCCGGGAGGCCGCCCGGGTTCGCCAAGCGGAGGATGCTGCTCGGGAGGAGGCCGCCCGGGCTCGCCAAGCTGAAGAAGTTGCCCGGGAGGAGGCCGCCCGGGCTCGCCAGGCTGAGGCGACAGCTGCTGCTGGCGCGTCGCTTGGGCCCACTCCCTCGGGCGGCCCTCAGGCGACATCCTCCGAGGCGGCTCGCAACGAGGCCGCGGGCGCATCGCCTGGGCCTACCTCACCGGGCGACGCCCAGGACCAAACGGGCCCAGGGGACATCCCCGAGCCCAGCGCATCCTCCGGGGGGCCAAGCCGCGTTGCATTTTCTCCAAGGCGGCTCTTCTCCTCCTCTTCCGTCGCCCCGGTGAGCGCCGAGCCCATTATGCAGGCCTTGGCCGCCGCAAACACCGCGGTGCTAGATGGATTTAGCGCCCAGGTGGAGGCCTTGCGAGCGGAACGAGCGGAGCTCGAGGCCGCATGGGCGCGCGTGGAGGAGGGGCGGCGCTCGGTGGACGCCATGGTGGAGGTGGGCCGTAAGGCTCACCGCCGCCACATCTCGGAGCTCGAAGCCCGCAAGGCGGCGCTGGCGGAGATCGCCCGAGAGGTGGAGGAGGAGCGAGAGGCCGCCCTCGTCGCCACCACCGCGATGATCGAGGCGCAGGACTCCCTCCGCCTTCAACACGGGAGCTGGGAGGCGGAGCTAAAGAAAAAGCTCAACGCCGCCCAGGAGGTCCTCGACGCCGCCGCCGCCCGAGAGCAGCGAGCAACAGAGGCTGAAGTGGCGTTGCGGTGGCGCGAAGATACCCTTGAGGCCCGTGCCATGGCGCTGGAAGAACACGCCGGCGCCGTGGAGAGGGGCTTGGCGGACCGCGAGGCCGCCGCTGGTCTCCGAGAGGCGACGCTGGCGGCGCATGAGGCCGCCTGCGCCGAGGAGGAGTCCACGCTCCGCCTCCGCG